CCTTTAGTTCTCAAGTTCATAGACAAGCAGCATTTTAAATGCCTCTTACAAGTAGCTAAGCCATCAAATAAATTCCTGGTTTTCTATACAAGTATGCTACATCTTAGGGTAAGTACATTCACTCCAAGATTTAAACTTATAATCAAACCAAAATTTATTTAATCTATCAGACCATATTATCTGAAGACAGAATATGCAAAAGACATCATCCAGTGTTGTTAATAAACCTATCTACAAATCGCAATGCTAATGGCTTGCTTTGATTTTTACACTAGATTTCAATTCTCAACATGTCTTTATCTAATATTAGTAAATCAAGTGGAAGCTGACTCCTAGCGAGCACAAGGCTCGATCATCATTAACATTTAAATTCTGTCTTTCTGGCAAAAACTAGTAAGAACAGAAAACCTGTGGCATGCTATCATCTACCAACTTATATAAGGAAATTAGAAAATATAATAAATGAAAGAATAAAAAGTAAAGAAATATTATTCAGTAACCAAGAAGCATACCTCTGGACCGTTGAACACAGAAGGCTCATTCATATCATTCCAAATATATAATGAAGGAGTTGAACCAACATAATTTTCATACGAGAACTTATCACCCCACCACGACCTAATCTCTGGATTAACCATATCCAAATAAGAAGATGAACCAGGCCAGCACCACCCATCAAAATCCTTTCCACTTGCATCCCTCACATAATACCCTTTCTCAGTAGCCTCCTTGTGCAACCTAAAGGAATCATCCCTCTTAATATGAGGATCCACAATAGTCACCATATGCCTCCCTTTGGCTGCCAGCTTCTTTTGCATCTCCTCTGGGTTTGGAAACAACACTGGATCCCATGTAAAATACCTTTTACCATCTGTATGCTCAATATCAAGCCACAAAACATCATATGGAATATCATGCTCATCAAATTTTGCATCCACATTCTCCACATCCTCTTCATCCCTATAATTCCACCTACATTGATGATAGGCAATGGAAAACAACTGTGGCATCGAAGGTCTCCCTGTTACACTCGTATACTGTTTCACAACATCTTTTGGTCCCGGACCAACAAAGAAAAACGCATCCACAATCCCCGCCTCACTCATCCAAAACGTATCAATTCTCTTCTGCTTAACCAACTCGATCCCAGACTCTGCATCCCACCCATCTCCTAACACATCAATCTGCATTTCCGCAGCATTCAACCAAAAGAACCCCGCACTCCTCCCTTCTTTACCATGCGAAATCATCAGAGGAATCGACCCATACAATCCAAATGGAGACTCGTTCAAATACTCAAACACATCCAAGTTAAACAACCTATATGGCTCCGAATCTTTCTCAACTCCCGGCCCTCTAGTCGGCTTCAACGCCAAACTCGTTGCGTGTTCCGGGATCCCCGAAACAAATTCAGCATTGTAAAACGAAACATCAAAGCTAATCGATTGTGGCCCATAAGGTCTCGTATCAGTATGAGACCTAAATCTCTCCTCCCAATTATCATCACTACCACTATCCTCATCATTATCGCTATCTTGCTTTTTTTGTTTCACTCTCAATTGCTCGAAATCAAATAACTGATGAGAGTTTAACGAAATTAATTTCTGATTACCCGACTTCTTATCACGAATGTAGATCTCAAACGGATCGTGACGGAGAACGGCGTCATACCCATCAGATAAGTAAACAACCGTTGATGGAGAGGATTCGCCGTCCACCGTTTCCGTTGAGAGTCGTTGGAGCCAGAGCTTGCTAGATTCGAGTTCTGGAAGGATGACATCAGGGACCTGAAACCGTCGTTTAGGAACAGGTGGGTCCGGCTGGTTGTAATCTTCGTCGATTTTGAGACGTAGGATTCCATCTTGGTAGACGGAGAGGGAGAGAATCAAGGGTCGGATTTTTTCATCAGTTTTAGAGAGTAGTGTAGCGGTTAGGTCGCCGTTGGAGATGGAGATGCTGTGAGGGGTTAGAGTGCACGCACCGGGGGAGCGAGAACGAGCGCGTTTGCAGAAGGGGGTTTGGTGGCAGTTGCGGAATTCGTCTCGTTTGAAGGAAAGGACTGTTTGGGAGGTGAGAAAGAGGAGTGAAAGGAGGAGGGGAGCGAGGGGTTTCATTGGAGAGAGGGAGAGAGTGAGAGAAGTCAGAGGAAAGAAGAAGAAGAAGAGAGAGAAGAGAAAAGAGAGAACTAATGGTAATTTTGTAAAATAAATTGCAGTTGGGTTTTGGGCTGCTCTATTTTAAACTACAGAGTAGTTGCCCGGACCGGACCGGCCCGGCCCAAAGTAACTACTTGATTGTTTTGCCCAGAGACTTGTCTCCGTCAAGTATTGTTTCCGTCGTAGTGACAGCCCGATCGTCAGTTTCCGATTATTAGGATTGATTATAAAAAAAAAAAAAAATCTTCTAGTTTACTTTTTTTTATCTTAATTTTTTTAGAAACTATATTTTATGTCAACCGAAAATTTTTTAAATTAGATGAAATAAATAAATTAAATTACCTTTATATATAATAAAAAAACCAACAAATAACAAATTAAACATTTTTTTTTTCAAGTTATAATCTCTCTTCTTCTCTAGACAATATTATCTTCTTGATCAAACTCAAATCAAAATCAAAATCAAAATCAAGTTTTTATTTTTTTTAAGATCTTTTTCATGTTATAACATGTGATGTTGATTCATATACAATTTATTTCATTTCATATTATTATAATGTTTTCCTTTTCTTATCTAGAACAAAGTAAAATAGAAGCATGTTATAAATCTTTTTTAATCGAGATATCAAAATATTTGTTAATTTTTTTTTGTTAAATATTATTAATACAATACAATATAGATTATAAAGAGATAACATAACCGGTTGAACCTTGAGTTTGCTTCTTAATGATCACGAGTTCAAGATCCATTAAGGTCATTGAAAACTTATATGGTTATTAATTTTATGGCCCATAAAATTAATCGAAATATATGCAAGTTGTTCAAGAAACTCACATTAATAAATAAAAAAGAAGAAGAAAGTGATTGATTATATGTCCTATACAAAATTAGTTAACTAATCTATAATTGAGAATCTTTTAGAACATTAGGTTATATAAATACATATTTGTTCTACTATTTTCTGAAAAATAATCAATGATATATATATTTTTTATTAACGTGGATATCCGGGCCAGTTTGTGCGTAACACGACTAATCCCACGGGCCCTGAAGTTAACGATTATGTAAGCCTCCAGTAGCCATCATATGAGTAACCAAGAACTCAAACCTGAATGGTAGTGTAAGAGGTTTGTAAGTTCATGTTTGTTGAGGTGTACCATTCCAATTTTTGTTCATAACATTTTGCTAGGATTTAGTTTGCCTACAATAGCTTTTGCCTCTGCCTCGAAAAGGACAGTAATGGCGTTTTAGAAATCTTGCATAAAAAAAATGAATTATACAGTAATGTTTAAGCCTTGAATCCTATACCAGGAAACCTATCCAACATGAAATGAGACAGAAATTTGGCAATTGTTGCTTAAATGAATTATTAACATATATCAATTTACTGTAAGCAACATTTTACTGGTATGGTTTGCTTTGTAACAAGATGTAATATAGTGTTACACTGACATACATTGATTGTTATCATCAAGCTTGTAGTAAGAACTCATATAACTATGGTATTAACAAAATTGAGAGGTGAGAATTAGATTTTCCTTGCAGAAGGTGTTAGTGAGTTGATAAAATTGTTGAAAGACAATACCTCAATTATTGGCCTTTTAAGAGTATTATCCCTTGTATAAACATTGTTTAACATGCATGTAATATTGTATTGTATACCATATAAGATACAAAATGCTAGATATATTTGTTCATCGTGAAAGTTCTTTATGTGTTTAAATACAAGAATTTGCCAATTTTTATGTTATTAGAGAAGATCAGGTTGAAATTTATGTTTATTTTTCATGACAGACTTGCTCAGGCTGTAAGATAGAAAACAAAAGAAAATTGTTAAGTCTGTTGAGAAGTCTAGGAATATGAGAATGATTTCAAGAAGTTCCAATGAATATCAAGTTTTTTAGGGCGAAACCAGAATTTGTATTGTTTTAAAGGAAAAAATAATAATCCTTTGCCTGAATCATTAGAGAATTGAGATGGAAGATTTATGCCATGTATATTACATTGTGAAAACTTTGAGGAAGACATACAATGAGTTCATGCACCTATGACCACAAATTGATCTAGATCCTAAAGAAAGAGATGCCGGTTGTTCTACCTCCAAACTTTAAAAGGAATGTGGGTAGATTGGAAAGAGCAGACAAATAGAACAAGGAGAAGATCAAGCCAGAACTGTAAATAAAAAAAGCTTCCACACTTGGTACAATATCTGCAAGTAACATGACTACAATTTCAGGACATGTCAAAGAAATAATGCTGCAGAATTAGAGAATCCAGTGCTGCTAAAGAATCCAGTGGTACTGCTAGAAGATCTTGTGGTGCTGCAAGAGGAAGGAGTGGTGTTGCCTTCGGATCAAGAGGTTCTAAAGGCGACATGTTGATAATATGAATGCTTATTGTTTGCAGTATATGTGCTAGAAATTTTGGGTATTGTTTGCAGTATTTGTGCTCGAAATTTTGGATTATTGTTGCCAAAACTTGTAACAGTGTTTGTTTGTTGTTAACAGTTCATGTGACGGAAATCTTGGTTGCTGGCGATTTGTGTTTTGGATTGTTGCAGCCTTGAATTTTCAGCGGTGTGTGTTCCTTGTTGGTTGTATTTATGCAGGGAGTTTAAGAAATTAAACAATAGAATAGAGATAAAGTGAAAATAAATAAATAAATTATATGATTTCTTTTAATTAACCCCTTTTATTTTATTAAAACGATAATATTTCATTTCATTTCATAAGACTAAATTTGAATTGAATTTGATCAAATTATTTAAATTAACCAAATTATTTAGACAAGATTAATGATAATCCAATTCAAAAAAAGAAAAAAAACCTAGACTAGTGAAGCTCTGGATCCAGCATGTCAAGATCTAATAAATATAATTTAAACATTTTTAACATCAAACAAAATTTTTTTATATACAGAGAAAAGATGCAAAAAAGAAATTAGTGGTCTTGTGCCTCTCTTTCCCACGAGAAATATCTTGAAGCAGAAACAAATAAAAGCCGCTTCCTTAGAAGTGGAGTGTTTCATGTTTACAGAAGTTGATGCTAACTCGATCGTCATCTTTCACCCATCAGCGATTCCAGAAGAGCAGCCTCTTCTTCCTGCAAAAAAGGGTGAAGAAACTCTATTCACTGAGGAATTGGGTGGCTTGTGTAAAGAGAGAGAGCACCTACTTACCACAAGGGCATTGAATTCGGTCTCCTCGTCTATGGCACTTATGATAGCTGGGTCCTCTAAGAGATCCTGTTACAATCATCAGAGAGTATAAGAGCTAAATCAAGTGGTTATACTTGACTTTAAAAGAAGAAAATCAGCACTTTGATAAGAAACATCAATGAAATGCTTAAACAATCTCATAAAGAACAGCCTCCTTGTGCAGGTAACTATTTTCAAGATACCAACTGGCCACCATTATTCCTTCAGATCTTGATTCTGGTGAGAAACTCAAATCCGTAACTTCCCTAACCCTATCTTATTTTTATATCAACAACTTCAAGAAAATGCTTAGCTTACTGAGAAAGAACCTTTTTTTTTTTACTAAGGGTTGGGAGCTATAAAATACATACAGTCAAGTTTTTGGGAAAGGAACAAACAGGTCTAACCATGGGCGACAAAAGCAAAGGCCATGCTAAGATCCCATTATAAGCCTCCACAATGCATGGAATTACTATTCCTGGTAAATGCGAATGAAAAAGAACTGGACACTTCTCGAGTGATAAAATCCTGGTTGCTAATTCGATCACTTGTGCATGGACGCAAATATTAGCAGGCAGCAGCCATAGGTATCTATGATTTTTGGAAAGTGCCACCTATTTTGCATATCTTAGCTTGCATGGCGTCAAATTGCAAATCCAATTAACCTATTCCATTAAGGTAGGATTCAAAACCATATTGCTATATGCTACAACATACAAAAGATAAATTGCAGTTCTGGGACAAAAAATTCAGCAAGTCTTTTTATAGTACTACTTTCTACTGCTCATGAGTGTGTGTGTTTGTTTGATGCGAAGATTTAAAATATGAAAATAATCCTTAATGCAAAAGGAAATGGAACAGTATGGAAACAAAAGGAAATAGTAAACAAGCTCCATCATGAAACTTATGTTGCTTACATCATCAGCTATTTGCAACTGCCCATCCTGATCCTGCACAAACAAAATTCAACTTCGGTAAGTTCCATTTCTATTCCATGGATCACTCAAGTCTCCCCGTTCTTGAGCCAAAAACTTCTAATTGAAGTTTTCTTAATTTCTTTCTTTTACTCTCTCTCTCCCCCTCTCTTTCTCTTGACTGGTAATTTTCCTTTCATTTAATTGACTTCTGGTAGTTTTTCACAACAAACAACATGAAATCAAGCCTTGAAAATAAAAAATAGAACTGGTTTTCATTAAGTTTGGATAAAACTGGAATTTCATAAAAATCTACAACCCTTCCAGCCAACAAAATTCAATACCATAGCAGAGCATCTTTGTTGTTTCATTGATGCTAATTAAGTAAAGCATGTGGACATGTTTAAAGAGCTTTAAATTGTTATCCATGGGACTAAATTTTCAGGTTTATTAAGGATCCAACATCCTCTTCTCCTTGGATCTCTTCATTTATATGAAGAACAGATTAAAAACAGTACCTTAACAGCAACAAAAAGAAGTGGATCAGATGGTGTATAAATCATATAATGTGCACCATCCTGCAAGACCAAAAAAGGTAAAGAATAAACAAACAAACTAAACATTTGAAGGGAGTGCAATCCACAAATAATGTGATGTAATGGTGAATTGTCCATTGCAATGGTAAAAGTTTGTTGCACATGAAAACCAAGAGGTTGCTTGTTTAAAGCCTAGAGGACTATCTTTACAGTTTCCTTCCCAGGATAACTTAGTAATAGTCTTCAATCTATACATGTGATAAACTCAAACAATTCTTCATTAGGACCTTCCAGTTAATGTTCATTTCAAGAAAACAAGATAAAATAAAGAGTTAGGATTCCCGAGTCCAGGCAAATGAATTCTTTGTGAGCATAACTGCAAAACCACAATAATTTGCATCAAACTGAACAAGAACAGAGTACACACCCAAATAAGGATGCTATAGATACTATTGTATGATATGGCCAAAGAAGAGTTTGCTAGTGCAGTTGGAGGAGTTCAGTAGCACAGTTGTCAAAAATTATTTTTACAGCAACCAAGATTTCCTTCAAATCCCTGTGCTCTCTCGCATATGCAACTTGCGATTGTTTCATGCCATCCACTGATACTCAGTGACTTGCAGAACATACTAGAAGCAAGCACACATGTGCGCACATGCATGCACGTGATTGTTTCATGCCATCAACTGATACTCAGTAGCTTGCAGATTATATTAGAAGTGCGCGCGTGCACGCATACATGCAGAAGCTTGTCCTCAATTAAAACAAAAATCAAATTTGAGACTACACATATATACTCAGAACCTAAGGCTATTATCATTACCAGATGGAAGCATGTAATTTCCACACCTTCATTTGGCAAGCCATCTATATCTTCACCATCATCTGCAGCATTTTAGCAAAATATCTCGTGAAGAAAATAACTTATATCAGCTGCATATTTATCCATCAATATTTTTGGAAAACCCAATACACGAAATATATGCAAGAGGGTGTCAATAGGTAAGGAAGAGAGAAGAGGGGTAAAAAAGAGAGGACTTCATACAGTTTCCGAAAAAGAAGAATCAATCAAGTCAAAAAAATCTGTACTTGACCATATAAGGGACGTATCAACAACAAAGATAACAGCATTTCCAGTTGCCCATCTTCATGACGTATTTAGTAAACATAATCGTAAATGACATAGCATATTGCATATGGTGATGGTATGCACCCATTATGCATGCTGAAGAGCATCTATTATTGGGCAGTTCCAATAAGCAATGGAAGATTAATGATAGTAATCCACCATGATTTTTTAAAGAATTTCCCAAAAACATTGTCTTAGGAATGCTCCAGTATGTGCAAATACTCATGTGAAACCTCTTAGGAATACTATGCCAATAGAGAAGCATCATTTTACTTGAGAAATACCACAACAAAAGTTGGCCACTGAGATATTTCAACAGTTAATTATAGCTGCGAAAATAAATCAAAATCTCAAGGAGTTTAAATATCAAAAGGTGGGTCATACCTGTCCGGAAATCAAATATGTCATCCTCAGAGTAACAAAACCCTCCTCTTGCCGTATAACAGAATCTGATGAGAAAAAATCCATACGGTAGGAAAAGCTAACAGGAACAAACTTTTTTAAAAAATGATTCAAGATATTTTCTGTCCGCCTAAAGATTCAATTTTACCCGCTATGCACTAAATGCATGTGTATCTTGGCCAGAGCATATGCAGCAGCTGGAAGAATAGATTCAACTTCTCCATCACTGACCTATAAAACATAGAAAATTATAGACTACTAGGGTTGGTTACTATTTGCAAAAAAGAAGGCATTTCCTCATTGCTGCAGTGGGGAAAATGACAGAATGAGTGCATTTGAGTCCATGAATCCTTCAGCAAGAGGAAGAAAGATGCATCTTTGAAAGATGAATTTTCCCCTTCCAATGTTCCATTCAAGAAATACCAAATTTGAAACCAAGCATTGCATGATATCGAATGATTAAGAAAAAGTGTCAGTGCCAAAACTCAATCATTTAATGTTCATAATCGAAGAGCAGAGAAACATACCGCAGACCAACCGTCAATATTTACACTCTTCAATATCTGAACAGGCCTGCAAAAATGAATCTATTTAATACACCAACAAGTATTCCAACACATATATTGCAGCAAAGTCACTCACGTGTCAGCTGGACATAGCAGCATGCATTCATCCCCTCGTGAACTTCTAAATATTCTCCTTATAACACACTCCAATGGATAATTATTCGTGGGATCAACCTGTCAGTAAATCTTCAGAATCTTCTGAATTGTTGAATGGGAAAATAAATATTTCCCTAACGTATCAAATCTTACCATTTTTTTTTCTTTTTCGTTTTTTTCAAGGCAATGAAACTAGCAAGAAAAAATAAGAAACCCCAACAAAAAAAACAAAGCAAAGAGCACCCGAAAGGAGCAGCAAAACACAGGAATAACAGAAACTTAAACAGCGCTAAGCAGAAAAAAAAGTTATAAATTACAAAAAAAAAAAAACAATAGAAAGCAGAAGAAAAGAAATCACCATGGTGACAATCCGCTTAGTAGAAGCCAAGAGAACCCTTCCACTATCATCCACAACAAACCCAGCTGGTGGTTTAGGCAGAGGCATAGTTGGATGGGTAGATACTTTTCTTGAAACCGAATCCGAATAAAAGCCATCATCACTATCATCATCGTCGTCGTCATCAACCTGGACATTAGCAAGACCGCCATCATCTTTAACAATCTCGGCATCCCTCAAATTCAAATTATCACCACTGCCACCTTTGCTTCTTCTTTTCTTCTTCTTGTTAGTATTAGGCGAAGCTGTAGAAGAAGAGGAGGAGCGTTTCTTGACGGGTCCAGTTTGGGACTTGGCGGTGGCATGACAAATGGGGAGTCTAATAGAGTTAGGGTTTTGAATTGAGATTGGAAATGAGACAAATGTGTTTTGTTTCTTACTAGAAGAAGAAGAAGGGAAGGGAGTGAGTTTTTGAAGAGCTGTGGAGATGGATAAGGTGGCCATTGATGAGTGTTTGTTCTTGTCCCTCCTTCCGGCTCAGCTACAACTCAACTCACTGAGTCACCGTCCTAGCTTCTAAGCAGAAGCAACACAAATCTGAGGCTAGTTGTTTGCCAAACTCTACTAACTCAACTGCAGCGTGGGTTGGGGCGGCAGAGGAAGAAGGATATTTATTTGGCTGCAAATTCCAAACAGTAAATCGTTTTGTTTGGTCCCTGTATTTTTAACCTCATTATTACTTAGCCCCTAAATTTTGAAAAACCTATAAATAACTCTTAAATTCGGAATGTACATTTAGAAAATTTAAATTCAGGAGAAAAACCAATATAATGGGTAAATCATAATTGGAAATCTCGAGGGGAATCAGGCCGTGTTAAAGTTTTTCTTGTTTTCTTGATTCTCACATGTCATAAATCAATCAACAGCTCGAAGAAAATAGAAAAAAGAAAAAAATCTCACTTGATGGGATTAATTTTGCAGAAATATATTGAATTGATTGACATTGAATGCCTCCAATAAATAAGCATTGGCTTTCTGCCTATTTCCCAATACAAATTACAGTACCTCATACATAATGCTACAGTTTCTCCCTGGAAAAACCTCATAGTGGAGGGTAATATAATCTCCCCCCTTTTTTTGTTTTTTTGTGTTCTTTCTAGCTAAGCATGTGAATTTGTATGCTATGTGGTTGGATCTTCTTACTGCTGGTGCTGCTGATTTCAGCTGCATACTGCTTCAACAGCAAGTCTTCTGGTGAGGTCAGGACACAAACCCTTGTTGAAGTTCTCCTCCGTTAGTTCTATAGCGCACTCGGTTTTGTTTAGACAGGCCTGCAACATTTCCAGTGCGGTATTATCAGTAAAGAAACCATTGTTTATGCATTCTTTTATTATCATTTTTGGATTAGGATGAAGCAAAGAAACATTTTGACGCAAGGAAAAGGCTAGAGTGAAAAGGAATTATGTTTCCTACCTTTTCAACAACAGAAATGGAATTGGGATCGTGGCATTCTCCCTCGCTGTAAGATCCGCATTTTCCAGAAGGAGTTCCAAAACTGGCAAATTTTACAGCTGATATAACGGCATTTTGGGGGCACTCCAAATGGACAGAGGCCCTGGAATTGGAGTTCTTGCTTCCAGTTTCCTGCAATGATTTTCGATCAGCTGAGGGGTAATCCTCCGCAATGAGAGCACATATGCTGGACATTTTTCGTCTCGAGAATGTAATTTTTTCTGGATCTCCACCTTTCTCCTCAAAAATCACCAGCAAGTTTCCAGATGGCTTGAACCAAGAACGTGGAACATGGTACCTGGCACACACAGAATGCAAACTTTCTGATATTAACAACAAAATCATTTACTTGGTCATGCATGTATGGTATTTTTTAATTCCACCAGAAACAGAAAATGGAAACAAATAACTGATAAATTTTCATGAGGACCAACTAGGTCGAATAGCAGGGTGCATTGTGAAGTTTTGCGAATTATTCCACAAATATTAACAATTGTGGTTGCATAAAATTCAGATTTCACTTAGAAAAATGCACAAGGGCTCCTTAGCTGAATCAATAGGCTTAAGGTTGGCAGATAACTTAAGATCTACAGCATCATCTATTTATTTCCAAAAGCTGATTATCAGCAAACCATCAATCCTTTGGAAACTAGGTATAGTTAGAAAATTATATACATTCATCATGTATATAGTTACGAAAAAAACTTCCAAAATTTTGTAATTTTGATGCATAGACTCCTGCAACGATGTAGTGGTTAATCATTTGAGTTCTACTGATATCCATTTGGATGCAGATATGCAATTAAGAGAGACAAAAAAAATTCAACGATCTCATCAAAAATTTATCAGTTTTCCGTTTACCATCTTTGTGTTGGTTGACCACACCCAGTAAAACATTTGTCTGGCATGAATTTGCCTCTATAGTCGCATTCTGTAACACACTTTTCATGAACAGAACTTTTCCTGGGCCAGTATCTTCCAATTTCTTCTCCATTCAACCATGCTAGGCCCTTTCCCATATGAAGCATATCCAGCCCAACAGGTTCATTCCCCGCTGGTGGGTCCAGAACAACCTATGTATTTAAAAATTAATTAGTCATATGCATTAAATGCTTGGAATGCAGTGGCGACATTCACCTCCAAAGTATATAAGTTTAGTGCATAGCATAGCTGAAAGAGATCTTCACTAAATTCTTACCTTGTACCATGTCAAAGGTTGCTTCTTTGGTGGTTCTGATGTTGCAACCCAACTTACACTATTCACTTCCTCAGGCTTGTATATACCAAGCTTTTCTCCTTGCAACCCAATCTGGGAGAAACAGGATTGAAAAAAGAGTCAAGGCTTTGTAAAATTTAAAATGCCACATATCATACATGAATATCAATCTGAATTTAACTATTTCAAATTCTGCATCTCTCATACGCTGCTTCCTGCTGCAGAAACATGATACAGTCAATGGGCCATGTAGTCCCCCATCTATCACATCATATTGCTAATTCTCATGTTTTAAATTTTGAAGGATTGGGACCTTAAATTCTGTACAGCATTAGGATTCACGAGCCCTTTGTAACTATGAATCTCATGCTACCTTGTTTTTGTACAACCAAACGCGTTTTACAACTTCTATCCAATGTATCCAAAATAATTTTCAAGAGGAAAATCCAAAAGTGAATTTGAAATTGTAAAACAATCAATTACCTGTTTTCCAGGAAAAAACCATTTAAAAACAACACAAAAATGACTAGATGTTATTCAATTGGGAACTTGTCTTTCATTATTTTCCAAGGCAAATTGCATAACATATTCTCAACAGAAATTTATCACAGCAGTAATCAAGGAGTCGTAATGCAATTTTTAGACAGCGTTACTTCATATTCATTTTTACTGTGATTTTGTATACAGTATTACTTCACATACAGATTTACAGTGATGATTTTCAAGGAAAACTAATTTACCTTAAACTAAAGCAACAGAAAGGGAGAAAATTTTACTCTCTCAACAGAAGGAAAAAAACTTATCTTAAAACAGACATGATTACTCCTTTTGTCTGACAGCATGCACAGTCAATATTCACAAAGAAGAATACCTTATAGATCCAGTTAAAATGAGACAAGTCAACGGTGCCATTGTTGAATCCTTTAATCATAACACTTGTTAGTCCAGCTCCTACCCATTCGTAAAATGAGCCTGCATTCTGAAAGCAACAAAAAGGAGTGTTGAGTCTTTTCAATTTGTTGCATTTGACGAAACCAAGCACGTGACAACATAAAGCATGACATCACAAATAACTTCAAAGATCAAGTGCAATATGTTCCAGCTTTTAGTGCCAGCCAATGTCTGATGTTCTGTGGAAGAAAATTTTACAGATGACTTCCCCAAAAGTCCACGTAACAGAGAATGAACACTCTATAACGAGGCTCTGACATTCTCTCAAAGCGTTTAAAGCCCCCAGACAAACTTTTTCATCAGTCAAACACAAGATGAATCTATAAAGGGGCAAATATGTGATACTTTGATTGAAGCCCATTCTGATGATGACCTAGGTTCTAGATAATACTACAAACATAAGAATTTCAAGACAATGTCACAACATCATATGGCTTCCACACAATTTTTACACCTGCCAATATTTTTGGATATCACATTAAACTGGACAGGTTTTAAATGAAGCATAGATTGGGCCTACTGGACAGGTTTTAAATGAAGCATAGATTGGGCATAAGACCATAAGCATTTGGCAATATCCTTCAAAGTACTAAATAAATCATTCATAAATCCATCACTTGGATAAAAGACCATTCCACGGGACCAAATTTTTCATACTTTTGCAAGCAACTTGGTAGATAATGCAATTACATCTAGAGCACAATACTGATGTTGAAATTGAAATCCAAGCAGTATTGTGACAAAAACAGCTAGTCAAAGTTGGTCTTCATCACAGACACAAAATTATCAGCATGGAAGTTGAAATAACACCTAAAGGCTTCAAAAAATGTAAATTGGTAATTAAATAAAAAGATGATAACAATAAAAGCAGCTCACTTGTAGGCCAACAGTCATGCTTAGGAGTGCAATTTCATTCTTCCCTGCCTTGAGAGATATGGGATTCTTAAATTTGAAGGGTGAATGCGAGCCATTTCCAGATGCACTACCTGAATATTGGCAATTAGATATAGTGATATAATTGCAGGCTGTAGCTTGTATAAATATAATTTGTCAAAGAGATACCAAGAAGAACATTGTATTATCTATTTAATGAAACTTCCTCAAAAAAAAAATATATATGATGTAAAGCAAACATGGTGCAGTAAAACATAGCAAGCATAACAAATCTTCATAATCTTAACCCTAAGAACTGCCAGGTCTCCTTCGGATGATATATTTTGAGAAAACAGCGGTTTGTTCCTGCATAAGTTCCTTGAATGCTTCATAGAACAAGAACAAGTTCTGTGGTTAGAACTTCTTAATGTCTCCGAAGATGTCTAGGCATCTTCTATGTAGTTTCTTGTTTGTCCATCCTTGCTGCATCAAGTACAGCCAAGTAAATAAAAGCTAGAGTGGGCTTTAGTTTCCTGAAAAGACAGTCTTATTCTCTCATGTGCTATCAAGGAGAAATCTCCAAATTCACCAATCAGAATATCAGATTGAGGAACTGAGCAGGATAAGTGTGATATTTCACAAATGTTTAAGAATGTCTGGGAATCAATAATTATCATAGCTCAATTCACAACATTTTCAAAAATCCTCCCATCAAGAATCTTGATGGACAAAAGATTGTAGCCTTCCAGGAGACCAATAGAAAGAGCTATAAAATTTGGTTTTTAAACCATGTATACCCACAAATAGGCAAAGAAACTTAGAAAGTAACCACGTACAACATTGAGGAACCTATGTGCTAGGACTTCATAGCAAGCTATCACACTTGACTAGCTTTGAATATAAAAATAGTGCAAATGCAAAATATAGTGGTACAGAGGGGGGGAAAAGAATATTAATTGCATATTTCAAAATTGACCCGACAAGTTTCAAGAGAATCATAATAAAATAAATTTACTCCTAAAAAGAATGAACCAGATCATAACCTTGAAGTTCCTGATTCACAAAAGCATGAAGAGCATGACCCATTGATTCAATAAGAAGAACTGGATGTCTTCCCTCTTTCAAGAACTCTTCATTTTCACCAACAACAATACTGCCATTGAAGAATTCTATGAAGTTCAAAACCAATCTTACAGTACAATAGACCTCTTCTATAAATAAAAAATCATTTTTATACAATCACATTTAAGTAGGAATAATCCAGTGCTGCAGATGGACATGGTTAAGAATTTTGTTTCCTCATTTTTTAAGCATAAATAAAGAAGCTCACATATAAATCATGGAATTATTATGCAACATCAATTGCACATGTCATATTTAGAAAATTAGGTAGCAAGATAGCAATGATGGTTTAAATTGATTCTTAAATATTGAGTAGGGTACAAGATTTGAAGATTAGGAAAAGAAGACAAGACTCCAAAGAAAGATCAAAGGGAAACCACTTGTTGAGGTACAAAGAACTGGAGTGAGATGAAGCACCCAAGACCATCATAAAAAATAAATAAATAATAATTTTGCCCATCAAAATGCTGGTTGAACATTTAATTCATTTTTCAGTCAGAATATGCATTCTAGGCATAGCACTCACTAGACATGCTAAAGTGTCTGATCTATGGATATGGAAATTACATGAAAGAATTCTATTTCCTTGAGGATAAAAAAATAAACACACATACAATGTGTTTTAATTTACATTTTTTTATCATGTCCAATTAATCATAAAACCACACAGAAATCGATAACATTAGAATAGCAGAGTAAACATCCAAATACTAATCCAGGCAATTAGTTTTAGTAGAGCAACACCAACCTTGTTGTGTACCAGAGGTAGTCCGTGGTATCTTTTGTGGTGTTGATATGATCCACAAAACCATTTTTCATGAAGTCAGGTTCTCCCCAAATCCCAGCTTTCTCCATGAATACTTCCCATTTAAGAGCTTTTGAGTCATCCTTTTGCTGTAAATTGTCAGGTACCATTTCAACTAAAGCAGTCTGGGAAGTTACCTGTTGAAAATTTCACGCACAAGTGCAGAGCCTAATTCAGAACAAGAATTGTGTGATAGAATATAGGACAAGCCAATTTCATTAAAACAGACTAACTGCCTGATATTAATTTGCTATTAGGAAAGAGTTACTGGAGTTTTCTAGTCTTATGATAGGATGGATGCTTGATGTTTGTTTGTTTTGTAATCCGTCCTTTTCTAAGCTTTGCAGTGAGCCATACCAACTACTTCCTCACCACAAGGAGAAACTTTCATTCTCAGTATCTCAGCCTTGCCAAAAACTTTTCTATGTAAGATTTTCATTATTTTTTGCAGTGATAGCAATGGCTGATTTTATTTTTCAGTGGGATGATGAACACTGTAGAAATATCGTTGTCACATACAGAACAATTGAAAGGATAAGAATACAGGAGCAAACCATATATGGGTCATTGTATGCATTTAATTTCAACTAGGTTTGATGCATAGCTCATAGGCTGAAAATTATCATGACTGTTATTTTGTGGGTACTTAACCCTTATGAAAAGATCTTATACCTCGTGATGCACTAAAATTTCTGCACTCTGGTGTAAATCATATTTGGTAGTAGGAAGTTTATCAGAATGCTTGAATTTCATAATATGAAGGCATTACCTTTGCAGTGTTATATACTACATTCTTGCAGTCAGGCAGAATGCTAACCGACCAGGCTGGCAGCTTATATGACACATTCTGAAATTCAACTGTCTTGTCATTTTTATCATCTATGTTAGCAAGGAAAGCAACACAACCACCTGATGCATCAGAATAGATTTCGGCCTGCAATAAGTGATCAGTACAATGAATGTATAGTTTCAGGGAACACCAGCATATAACACAGCCCAAATAGGAATTGCATAAACATAACATCAATATGACCAGTACAACGCTGGAATTCATATCAACCAATCATGCAATCTGAAATTTCAATACCTAATTGTACTAAATAACAACAAATGTTAGAATTTATGTCACAGTTCTAGACATATGGCCAAATGACAGATTGCTCACAACTCCACAGATGATATGCAGACAGCAAAGATAATCCCATTCTGAAGTAAGATTTTCATATTGTTGTCATTCGGTACAATCAAACCAAACACTGATCCAAAAGAAAGTGAGGCGACAAAAACAAATTTCACTTTGCAGTAATACTACCCATATTGCAAGTTTCAATAATATCATTTTGTGTAGTACACAAAGCAAAGTCAAGAATCCATCTCTTGATGGCTTCATCAGGAAATTTTGTAGAAACTAGAAGAGAAGAGAGAGAACAGAGTATCATGAGGGAAATAAGGCATCCATCAATTTATATATTTAAATGCTTTGGATTTATCTACAGCTAAATATGGAAGCCAAACTAGTAAAAAGTAAATTGCGAAAATAAATATGTAAAATTTTGCATGTGCCGGAGTTAGGAAGAGCAGAAAGGTACCTCTTGGGAAGGACCCAGTGATAAATTAACTGGCTTGCTGTTCAGTAGGACATGCTCACATAACTTTATAGCTTTATGAAGTTCCTTCAGGTGTCCCCACTTTGGTAGCCTAGGCAAACCTATCAGCAAAGTCAGAACTCATAAAATTTACATTATGCACATGCTCAATTTCACATTGCAGATGCAGAACATGAGCACGTGACAATTAGAAGGTGAAAATATAAAGTATTCACCATATTCATCAATTGGTGCCTCATAATCATAACTTGTTGTAATGAATGGTCCACCTGCAGTGCGACCAAAATTTGTTCCTCCATGGTACTAAACCACAGAGGACCAAGCAGCAGTGTTATGTTACTTATAGAAATCATCATACATTAACAGAAACTTTAAACTGAAGGTGATCAGCATGATTTAAGAATCAAACAAGTATAGCACTCTAACTGTGGATCAAATACACTATATGTAAAAAAGTGAAAATCAACTAGAGAATTCAAGACAGAATATCAAGTAAATTACCATGTAATAATTTTGTACACTGCCACCTTTCTGGAAAAAGCGAGCAACAGAGAAAGCAACATCTTCAGCTGGCCTGTGAGGATTAGGGGCGCCAAATGTCTGAAACCTGAAAAAGACAGCGTTGGTCCCACTTAAATGCTTTGGACATTTCATACCAGACCCAATAAGGCTACAATGCAAGAGCCAGTGAATCGATCCAGATGGATCAAAACAGACCATCTCTCCAGTGGAGGCCTCCTTGAATAGGAATGATCACCCATTATAAGCTGCTAGGCAGAATAGATAAGGACAATAGCAACTGAACCAAAAGATTGATAAGCAGTTTTAGACTGCAGAATCTCTCGAGGAAGCACAGGAATGATATGACTAAATTCTGTCTGATTACAAATCTAAATAAGATCTTTATGCCTTCAGGGTCCAGATATAATGACTTTTATGGAGAGACAATTCTTCAATTTCTCAAAGAGCTACTTTACATGTGCTGATTACTTTCAGTAGTTAAAAAGAGTTAGAGATATGTAACTAGGAAGTTAAAAAATCATATTTTGTACACATGGGTTCTTTCTGCTTGACGTTTCACTACTCTCTAATTCATTGAAATTGTTCACCACCTGGAGTGTAATTAGTAAGCATGGGATGATTTACAACATAAACTACCATATATGAAATTGAAGTACTACTGTAGCATAGTCTCACTAGAATTAAAGCATATGGATGGCTAAATCATGGTTGTTAACAAATTTTCATAAGCTAGCGAAGATTATACATAGCAAATAGGGGCAAGAATAGGAATTAAACATTACCATCCAGGCCAATTCTCAGTCCAAATTTTAGGCTTGTCTGGAAAAATAGGTTTAAACTGATCGCAGTAGAAGGAATTACAAGTATTTATCTGCACCAACAAGGATGGAAGAAGAAATGAGTATAAACAATTATACAATTTTTACGCAGGGCTAATATATACAATACCAAGTGTTTTATGACCCTTCTATTAATATAGTTATCACAACGACCCTCAACTTATCAATTTAAAACCAATCACTAATAGTCGCACAGCATGCAGATGCAACACGTACAAACTGGTATGTCAACTCAAAACTTAATGTAGCCTTAGTTCCAACTAAAACAATTCAGCCAAATGTAGTACAAGGTTAAAAAAACTCCTCTTCAAGTATAATAATGCACTAGCTTGTATCCAGCAGTCCCATTTATCCAGTTTTTGAGATACCTAGATTGTAGGGATGTTATAAACTCTCACCACAGAGGGAGGAGCGTCAAACTGCTGGCACATTATCCAAGGTACGCCTGTATTTTGAGAAACAGCCATTTGTGCTGCCCATGCAGCATATCGCTTTCCACCTTCTCCATAAGCACCTTCATAGTATCCATATTCATTTTCAACCTGCAATTGGAACCAGGTGCATTGGTTATGTAAAGGAAAAGAAGCCCATTCTCAGTAAAAGGAAGATGACATGAAAATGACAAAAGAAACAGAACAAAAGAGTGGGCCATAGTTAGTTCAATTATGCACGGAAAAAACTCAGGAAGTGCTTCAAAAATTTGCATCATTTAATAAGCCTCTCTTGAAAAAGAACTATCTAAGATTCTGACATCATTTGAAGGTAGCGAAACATTCAGTGAGATCAGTTCATAAAAGTAGCACAATTACATCTAATAGTACAAGCCACATTTATCTGTACTAAAGTAGACATATTCAATGACTAAAAGCCATTTGGTTGGTATACTCTGTTAAGGGAATGTTCAAAAAATCAAGGCTCATAACCTGAAAGAGCCACAATTCTCCATATTGCAAAAGTGCAAACCAAACGTTTGAAATCAAAGTAAGGAAAACAAATGACAATTCTTCTTGATTTTATTGAATGTTGAATCGAAAATTGATAAATCTTAGAAACAGAGATCATACTTGCCTGAGACAAAATTATGGGACCCCCCTGCGATGCAAAGAGCTTTTCTTTCTTCATTAGCTTAACTATGTATGTCGTGAATTCCTCCATGTAGTACTAAACACCAAAGAGTTGGGAAAAAGAAAAGAAAAAAAAAAACATCAGAAAACATCAATGTTTCAATCATATGCGAATGAAGATTCAGGAACAGGAACCTAAAGATCCTCTTACTAATGAGACTCCTGAGATCCCACTGTCATACCTTGAAATTATAATTATCAGTCCGGAAGACAGTTCCATTAACGTAATGCAACCAGACAGGTATACCCCTATTTGTAAACGATTGAAAGTAAGGAAAGTGATGAGAAACGAATAAAAAGTACTGATGAAAAAAAAAATGTGAAATGTTTTTAAGATATAAGTGAAAGGAAAAATCCATTATCATTCAAAAAGCTTTATAATCTAAGACGGCTACAATCATACCCAAAATTCCATTCAGCTGCAACGAATGGGCCAATCCGAAGGATTAAATACATCCCAGCCTGCTGGACAATATTTATAAACTTGACCAGATCGAATCTTCCATCGAAATGATACTACAATTTCCCAATTACAACCAAAGAAATAGAAAGAGTCAATATTGAACTACAAAGATAAAAATGGAGAACTTTTACTGCCAAATGACTAGACATTGTCGTTCCACTCACCTCGGAAGGAGAAGTAGGCTGATGAACATTCCAAAATACATATGTTTCAATCACATCCACCCCTCCTTCCTTAGCTGTTTTTACCAGCTCTGGCCACATCTGCCACATACCACCATTCACATTAACAAAATTTACAATCAAAACCCAAGATGCAGAAAGCAATCTAGAATCCATGTTGCTAATCCAATGAAGCCATGCACAATTAGCATCCTAAAATACGCATCACTTTTAAAAGAGAAAAACAGTACACCAATTCACTACACAATTCAACAAACATTTAGAACCCAGTAAAGCAATACAAAAAGTCGATCCAACAAGCTCTTAAAACAAAACTCTCCAAACCCAGTTACGAAAATCACCAGTTAAACAAATCCCAAAAGTAAACATACAACCTTTCCATTTTCCTATATTATTTTCCAGCATTTTCTTTAATAAAAACCAAGAAAACAGAAAACCCAGTTGAAGAAAAGTGATACTGACAGCAGGGACACTGCGAGGATAATGAATGGCAGCAGAAATAAGAAGCTTTCTTTCACCATTGATGATCAAAGACCTACTATCATAGCTCACATTGCCCGCAAAACACAATGTGAAACACAAAGAGAAGAAGAAAATGGGAACGAGTGCCATCAAAGGCAGTTTCTTTATCAGTTTTGCTGTTAGTTAAGAGATCCCAACACGGAAGAGCATGTATTAGTGTAGTGTCAAGAGTTGTAGTTCATTTTATAGGCGTGTTGAGATCAGCATTCAGTGATAGCTAGTAGACAGACATTGCCAGCCCATGCTTAGCATACATGGCAGGGTTTTAGATAGAGAGAGACAGAGAGTAAAGGAGGTTTTAGAGATTTTTGGTAGATCTACTTTTCATTGATATGGTGAGCCTAGTTAAAGTCAAAAAAGTTTTGCTGTCTCTTGAATTATTAGCTGAAAGAGATAATTTTATAAAACTAGTGTTCAACTGTCAATTGGATTGGCTTCGTGACACCTTATCATTCCAATCTCAAATTGTGGTGACGTGCAAGATTTTTAAGAAAAAATATTTTAAAAATTTATTTAATCATATTTAAAATTGAATGATACGTTTAATAATTTTTTCTAATTTACTTAAAGCTCTTAGTATTATTTATTTATTTTTGTGTTTTTTAATTTATTTAAACTATTTTTGAAATTTATTTAAAGAGTTAGAAGTCATTGACTATTTAAAAAATAAAATTCAGTAGTAAAATTGCAAATTAAAATTTTTATGTGATTTTTAAAAAAAAATATGTGTATTCTTATACTTGTTATTTTTTTAATTATGTTTTCATTTAGTTGATATCATAACTCTCCATTAAAAGAATTAGGAGATCTTCTATATATTATATAAAAATACAAAAACAAATAATACTTCCATGTACTCTTGATCATGCCTTTATTTAAAAGAGCAGACACATTATTATTTTTTTATTAAATTATCTTGTACCTTGGTTTAAAACATAAAATCATTAATGACTTTACAAATGTTATTCATGTGATCCCAATTTTTTTTATCAAATAAAGGGTAGTTTTTGTTTTTATGATCCAATCATGTTTAAAAAAATTATATTATATTTTATTTTTAATTAATTTTTATTTCTTAAAATTATTTTGATAAAAAATAAAATTTAAAAAAATAATTTAACATGTTTTCAACCAAAAAAACACTTTAAAAATAGACCTTTACATTCCAAACATCACCTTGGTGTGTGTAGATAGATAAGAATTTTAATTTTTTAACAGGATAATTAAGACTTGGGACGTTCGTTTATAAGGGTTTGTTTATAGAAGGCAAAATTATGTGTAGAAACTAAGGGGAAGGAGGAGGAGGTTTAATTGAATATAGATGGATGGTTAGTGGTTGATGTGTGTGTTTAATTTCAAGTGGGGTCAATTTGGTCCAATTCTTGCCTTTGTCGTCAAGGAAAGAGAGATCAATCACATCACCTTTGGAACCCTTTCCCTTTTATTTTGTTACAATAAATTCTAAATCGAAAATGTAGGCTCACCTTTATTTTTATTTTTTTATTAATATAAATATCTGATTTAATTTATATATATCTTAATTAATTTTATAAATTCTAAAATTAATAATTATATAAATTTACAGTAATTATTATATTAGAACTACAAAACTCAAACTTAAAATTATAAAAAATATATATATATTTTGAGCCCGAGTTTTTATTATTAAATAAATAGCTAGTTTTTATTTATGAATATATGATCAGGAAAAATATCTCCTCCTTGAATTCATAAAAAGATTAAACCACCTTAATCATGAAAAAAAAACTGAAAAATATTAATTTGGTTAACCAATAACTGGATTTAATTTCAGGATGGCAGTCAAAAAACAAAAACTTATATTTCCTTAGAATCTCACCACATTATGCCACAATCCAATGTTAGATATGCATTGGAGCACTTCTGAACCTGTATAGATGCTAAAAGCTTCAACCTTATCATTTATGAAATGCTTATATTCATGCTACATTCTTGAAACATAAAAGATTGCGAGGATAAAAACTTGAATGGTTGAATATATGGATATAAAATAAATATTTTTTTTAAAAAAAATCTTTTACTCATGTTTTTTTTTATCTTAAAACAGTAATTAAATGCTATGAAAGTGTGAGATTACAATAACATTAAAATAAACAAAACATATTTTCCTGTGTTGAGATGATTACTTTATTTATATGTATATACACGACCTTAGATAAATGTACATATGCAATACATATATCAATGATTAATTAATACATTTGTGACTATAATACTCATTATGCTTCACAGTAACAAGTCAATGTATTTTATATATATTATTCTTGCTTGAAACATTTATTTAAAAAAAAATTAATAATCTAACATATTTAAGCATAAGCAAATAATATAACATGTCTAAGCATGATAGAATATTGAGTTTAGATGATATGAATCTAGTTTGCTTTTCAAACTTGATATCTAAAATTTAATTATATTTCAAACTCAAATTTATATGAATCTGATATAATATCAAACTCAATATTTGTTTTTTAGCTATAAGCTGAGTTAAAACACATGTTAGGTCACAATATAAAATGAACCGATGTATCATTGTTTTTTATAGGATTCATAATAAGTCTTTTATTTTTTATATTTTTTTCATTTTGAGATAAGAATTGAATGATTGAGAGAAAGTAAATTATTTTTAAGAATATTTAATTTTAATGTATTTATTTAATTGTATAATTTTATGAAATAAAAGAGTTACCCTAGTAGAAAGATATCACACTGAGTAAAAAATAACAATAGTACGATGGAGGGATTTTTATAGGACAAAATAAAGAGTAAAAAGATTCAATCAATACAAAAAAAGAAGAAGTTGGAGGCTCTAATATCAAAAAATGACTACAAGAACCAATATTTAGTAAAATAATAGTTATTGAATCTGATTTTAAAAGGGTTCTTGTTGAATTAATCTAGATGAATTACATTTTTATTAAATATAACTTTTTAATACCAACCCTAATACATTTAGCTATATCATAGTTCAACTTCTAATTGTTAATTTTTTTTGGTTGTAGAGGGTGTTTGGAAGGTGTTTTAACTATTTTTTTTTTAAATAAAAAAATTGATTTTTTTGTTTTTTGTTTTTTATTTTATTTTTTTATCATTTTAATATATTAATATTAAAAATAAAATTTAAAAAATAAAAAATTATATATTTTTAAAAATAACCTAAACAGCCTTTTGATAGCGGGGGTAAAACAATAAAACCCATTCACAAAGTCGAATTAAACAATCAGTAAATCATTTAATATCCAAATGAAAAAAGACGAGAATAACATGGTAACCCGACAAGGAAGAATATTGTCAGGATACAATCCTCTAGCCAAACACGTGTTAAGAATATCAAATAAATAAATTAATTAATCTTGATATGGATTTGATAAATCAAGTATATAATAAAATTAAATATGTTTAATTAACCAAAAGATCCTTGATCAGACAGTCAAGAAACGCGGAAACATGGTCCCAAGTCCCAGCATATACCTCCAGTCGATATACGTTACGAGGTCTTAATTGTTGGGTCCCACATTACCCCCAAATGTCTGCATACCCACGCGCTCCCAGCTTGGCCTAGCCCCCACTGCCTCACAGCTCTAGGCCACTGCAGGAGACTTATCCTTGTAGCGGTGGAATATGGTTTTTAATTAAAAATATATTAAAATAATATTTTTAGTTTTTTATAATCAATATATTAAAATAAAAAATTATATAAAAATGATTTTTAAATAAAAATACAATCTGAAAAATAATTTTAAAAATACATTCAGCTACAAAAACAAATACTAGCACTTAATCGAAGAAATATAATATGAGTACTTAATAATTTTTTTTTCTTTCACTCAAGTATTGTTTTTTATAAAGTATTTTAACTCTTGATTTGCTTGTGATAAGACAAAAGCCATCTTCGATTTATCATCTAAGCTAATAAGAGGATATCAAATTTTCAAATTAATTTTTTTCAAAAAATTATAAAAATATAAAAAATACTTTATTTTTATACATACAATCAAATCTTAATTTTTTAAAATATATTTTTATTAAAAGAATAAAAATTACCTCATCTTCATACTTTAAAATGTAAAATGAAAATCATAATCAATTTATGATTATTTATTAGAATTAAGTTAAAATATTAAAAATATTTTAGCAATTATTTTATTTACTTTATATTTTAAAATTTAGTTATAAATTTTAATATATAAAGAGATATAAAACTACATTATAGAATATAGCTTTTATTTGAACGAGGACAGGACACTTCTAATATGGTAAACAACGTAAAACTTATATATTAGGATTGTTAGATAATTAAGTTGAGGTGAAATGAGAAAGTTTTGGTATTTAATCGAAACTAAGTTATATATACATATATATATATATATATATATGTGAAAGAATGGGATTAAAGACAAAAAAATTAATTGATTATAAATCAAGATTATTGAGAATAAGGTCTCGGGTTGAAACAATTAAAAAAGAATCATGTACTAATTACAAAATTGATTATAAGTCAAGAGTTTAAATATTTTAATTTCTCGACCTTCAATTTTTTTTTTTTTTTCATTTTGACAACGGTGGGGAGACAACTACTAGATTGGCTAAAAAATGGGTATTCTTCCTCTCAGATTTCATGGTGTCCTAATTAAATAAATAGATCGCCTTTTTTTTTTTCTTAATCAAGAAGATGGTTTGGGGATGATGAAAATTAGAGAGTGAAGTCTTACATTTATTATATATAGTAATCTGACCTCATCTAGCAATTTGATTCAAAAACTAGTTTCTTGAAATCTAACTCCAGTGTTTAATAATTAATAAGATATTTACATCATCAAATTTAATTAACTCAATTAAAATCTAATTCATTTAGTCAAGATTATTGAGCATCTTGTTATTATTCTTCTATTTTATTTTTATTCTTTTAAAAATTACAATTTACATCTCAAATCAAATCGACTGATGTAGTTTTAAAATTTAAATAAAAAAATAAATCTATCCTCATATATATTATAACCCAAATACTCACAATAGATTAGTTAAACAAAATTTATATATCTTCAAACATAACTTATCTCTTCAAACTATAAATTAGTTTTAATATTGTATAGGTTTAATGATTCTATTTGTTCTTATTATCTATCTTTATGAGTATAAGTTAAGTTTCTAATTTATCATTTTGAAAAAATATTCAACTTAAACCAACAAAATTAGTCTCATGATGGGCACATGATTATATTTTATTTTATAAAAAGCCCTTGCAAGCCAAATAAATGGAAGGCTTTCATGTGCAAAT